ATATTTAGATAGTCTAATAGAAAATTATGGATATTAGTTACTGATTTTGGGGGCGTCACTTGCTAAGTGGTTAGCATGGTTGCCTCGAATCAAGAAATGTGACTTTATGTGAAGGGTTTGCATGTTTTTGCCCTGTTGAAGTGGGTTTTAAGATGAACTAAAAAAATGAAAAAAGGTTTGTTTCTGAATTGGTTTCTCAGCATTGAGGGTTATACTCTCACTGCTAGGTTACGACTAAAGGGCATCCATGTGTAAAACAATTGCCAGAGTAATTGTTGGTTTATTCCACTGTTACGCCCCTGATAAAGCAAACTGAAAGAAAGTAAGTGAGTTTCTGATTTTCATATTCTTGTACTTTGCTGGTCATCCATTTCCAGCTCCAGAGATCTTGATTGGTTTGACCCATGCTGAGAGGACAGAAGGCAAATCCTGTCATGTTCTGAGCTGAACCGGCGGATGAGTGGATGAGTGCAGTCACTGGATGAGATTGGCAAACATGGGTCGAGGTGGACGGTATAGCCTACGGGAGTGTAACCTCTGGATGTTAACCCTCATGATGCAATTTCATCTCATCGGTTTTCATTTAAAGCAGTTTTTATTAAAAGAAGAACAATGTGAAATAATACATAGAAAGATTTGACAAGACTTCTTACTTTTTTTGTCACATTTTTCCCCATGAACCCCCCCCCCATTCAAATAAATGAATAAGTAAATAAATAAAATAACATAAACAAAAAATAAAAATAAAATAAATAAATTAAAATAATAATAAATTAAATATTTATTAAATAGTCAGAGTTTTAATAGTACAGTGAGGAAGTATTTAACATCAATGTTTGCCCATTGAGTTTGCTTGCATTATTCTTTTAAGCATAGACCTTTTAATTTCCCTATTAGTTTTAGTTTGGGGGAAGTGTTACGTCTTTTTCAAAGTATGAAATGGATTCCATACTGTAAAATAACGTTTAGTAGATCCTCTAAGAGAGCATTTAATTGGGTCTATTATATATAGAATATTCTATTCTATTCTATTCTATTCTATTCCATGCAGGCTTTTGCTTTTTTACCATGGCAGAATGGTGCATGCAATTGATTTAAATGAATACACTCAACCTTTTAAATATGTACAACTGTCTGCTTTTTGAATTTGATTGGCTGATAGTTCTGCTATATTCTGCAAATAACAGCTCTCATCCAGCCTGTTAACCTTTCACCCTTTTGTATTAATCCCCCCCCCCCATTGCTCCGCCCACATACAGCGACAACAAGCAGAGAACTCTACAAATTGACAAATATTGCTGCTGTTGGAAAATATAATGTACTTTGCGGGCGTTTTTAGTCGAACATGTTGTTTAGATTGCAACTATGCAGTTAATTTAAAAGGATAGTGCCTATTTAAAAAAATTTATAAATTCTGAGAGAAATCGCGTCGGCGGCCATGTCTTTCAGCAAAGACGGTTGACGATGTTCATCCACAAGATGGCGACAGAGACAGCATAATAAGCCCTAAGAGAAAAAACGTAATTTCAAACTACAGCTGATCATTATTAAACTGGTAAGTGACTTTTTAAGTCGATGGCTGTTTCTCAATTCCAAGAACGCAGAGAACGGACTTGTGTTCTTGTGGAGACCGGTCTTGCCAGGTGTCCTCGGAAGAACGAACTCAGGAGAACGCGAGGGCAGAGAAGGCGTCTTTTGAGAATTGAAATGCTGCGTTCTTCCTGATGGTCACATGACCTTCACGTGTTTTAAATGGTAAAGTATTTAAACATTACAGCCTTCATACAACGATTTATTGTTTTTCCTCTTTTCAAAATATATACTTTGCATAAAAACATTATAAATATATGTAGCACAATATAAATAAAATAGATTTTAATACGAATTTCAGCAAACACACACCCTTAATGTAATTATTCCTTTATTAAGATGTCCATGGTAATGTTTACTTTCACCGTTTCATTGAGGGAAACTCCTGAGGTAAATAATTAATTTCTATAACCTTAAATAATAAATCTAGATAAAATGCAGCACTTCCCACCTTTAGTCGCAATGACTTCTGGGACTTCCAGAGCAAGTTCGGTGCTCAAGTCTGCATCGGTTCGTCCTCGATATCAAGAACACATCCGGGAAGTTTCACGCGTCCTCCGTACTTGCGGTCTTGAGTATTGGAACCGAACTTAGGCAGCTGATGATGACGTTTCACGAGAACACGAGGACGCAAGACCACTGAAGAACGCATATTGAGAAACAGCCGATCTCTTTTTTGTATGGTGTCGCGCTGCATTTATACCATAGTAATATTGTGATCTTCCATATGCAACACAGAAAAACTGGGAAATCTCTAGACTGATGGCATTTCATGTAACTTATAGGCTTTATAATAGCATTTGACAGGTGGGCACTTATAAACAGAGTTTATAAAATGTATTTGAGTAAGAAATATTTGTCCTCGTCTGCACATCTCAGGCAAAACTTCAGCAGGTATGTTCGTGATTCAAACTAAATTATATGACCATCATGTTCAGCCAAATGTGAATACCTAACTTCATTACTCTATGTGCGGCATGTGTCAATTCCAAGTCTTTTAAAGAGTTCTCTTCATAGTCATAAATCATCTTGCTAACACCCTCAATAAAACCAGAATTCAAAAACAGAAATTTTGAGTTATTAAAGACAATGTTTATGCAAGTTTAATATTTACGACTATCTGTTTGCTTTTTTTGAGAACAAGCTAGTGAGAATGTAATTTCTTAAAATTGCTTTATAACAATCTCAAAAGACAGACTTTCTTCCTTAATGTCATAATTAAATGTAGCGCAGCACAGAAAGGGTTTTCTGTTTTATGTATTGATTTTGCATGAGCTGATATGCCAGGCCAGCAGGAAAAGACTAGCAGAAATACTTCTGTCAAGTGGGCTTTGTTATGCCATGTGCTGGTGCCAAACTATTCACCGTAATCGGTTACACCATCACAGGGCTTAAGGCATGTTATTTCAAAGATGTCTTTGCAGATCACACAGAAATAAGACTAATCAAAGAGGGATAACTTGAAATATAATATAGCAATGTAGTGTATTGTAAGTAGGTGCTGCTGAAACATGCCATGGAATTAGTGCTATCTATCTATCTATCTATCTATCTATCTATCTATCTATCTATCTATCTATCTATCTATCTATCTATCTATCTATCTAGAGGGAGAACAAATTATTATTATTCATTCATTCATTCATTCATTCATTCATTCATTCATTCTCAGTCTCCACAACGGATTAAACTGCCAACTTATCCAGCATATGTTTCACGCAGCAGATATCTTAGAGATGCAATGTCAGACAGTTGTGGAAAGAGTACTGAAAAAATCTTACTTACTGTAAGTAAAAGTACCATTACTTTTACAGTACCATAGCCAGTGTCTAAGGACAACATTATTTTAATGCCAAATAACATCATAAAATGACATTGATATTTGGTTGATTTTAGGTTGTGTTAGAAAGTTACTAAAGTCCAACATCGGGCCAACATCTCTAACCAACATCATATTGATGTCAAATACTAACATTTATTTGTCAGGTGTGGCAACCAAAATCCAGCATCTTATAGACGTCATAGTAGTAATGTCTATCAGATGGAAATCATTAGACGTTGACTTTAGGTTGGATGTTTTCTAATATGCAGGTTAAAGAATAGTAGTGGAGTAAAAGTATCGATCCAGCACTAAAAATGTTTTCCAGGGAAAGTAAAAGTACACATTTTTTAAAACTACTTAAAAAACTGTTCAATTACATTAATTCAAGTATTTGTAATATGTTTTTACACCACTGAACACAGTGCACTCAATGGAGCCAGTGACATCAGGATAGGGTTAGGTGTGGGCATTAAAAATCATTGCATGCAGCTCAGATTGCAACTGCACCAAGTCTGCATGCAGACCTCTCTCCAAAAAAGGTGAAAAATACAAAAGGTGTGTAATGAAAACTTTAGGTGTAGATTTGCGGTCCTTATATCTGTATTTGGTGGATACTGTAGTTCAAAATGTCTGTTTCGTTTCATAGTGGCGTTTCACATTTCCACTCGTTACAACTCCCAGTTGTCTCATTACAAATCTATAGATATGTAAATATCTATCTTACAAATCAAGCAAAATGGCTTTGTGCTGGCTTGTGGCAAAATAAACGCATACTTATCTTTCCATTCAACTTGGAATGGAACCGGGTCCGGAGTCCGGACTATCGTCACCTGATAAGGTTTATTATAAGGTTCTATCTGACATTTTTGTCAAAATTTAGTTATTGACATATTCTTATTAAATAACAACCTATTTACATTATGAAATGTTTTTTTAAGTTGTTTATATTTTAAGACTTTTTTTGTTTAAAAAAAAAAAAAAAAACAAATGTTACACACATACTGTTTGCTATGGAATGCAAAAACTTTGAAGCTCAATATCTCAAAATCATTCAGAACACAGATAGAACCTTATAATTCCAAAGTGACGCTATGAGAAGCCTTGTAATATAATATAATATAATATAATATAATATAATATAATATAATATAATATAATATAATATAATATAATATAATATAATATAATAAGAATATTATAAGTCATTTTTACTGTTAAAAAATACATATATAAAATAATATAGAATGTTTGTAATATATAATAATGTTAATGCTTTAAAACTTATCACACGATCCTGTAAATGTGCAGTTTAAAATGTCATCATAACATCAAAAACAAACCAGATAACAAAAAAATAACTCGTATAAATCCTTATACAATGGAATTAAAGTAACACACATGCAATACAGTTTTAAAGAAAAGCTGCACGACTAAAAACACACAAAACGACAAATTCTACAATCAGTCATTCAGTTTCAATCCCTTTAGTTTTGATTACCTTACACAAACAAACCCAGGGGAGCAGCGTAACATAAGCACTTCACTGAGCGATTCCCTTTCACTGTCACTGTTTCCTTCTCTCCATCCATCAACCCATCCCTCGTTCACATTAGAATATGATTTTAATATAGCAGCGGTTGTGGTTCTGCCTCCCAGGTTCACTAGGAGGGTAGGGGAAGAATTCACCTGTGCTGACATTCATTTTCCCTCCCTCTCTCTCTCTCTCTCTTTCTCTATAGATATCAGTCTCAGTTGTTTTTCTTGTCAGTCAGTCAGTCACTATAAAAGCAGACTGGCAATTCAAGACAGAGATTTTTTGTAGCAGATCTTCAACTTCATCTGGACTCTGACTGACTTGCATTTATTTACAACCTGGGCCTGGAAGAGCCACACACAGCGGTAAGTGAAATTTAATTTTACTACTTTATTTAACTTACTATGCGCTACTCTGTTCACCATCCAGTGTTCCATTGTGAAGATGAGGATCAACTGATGGTATAGAACATCCAAATAAATCCCAGAAGAAAGTGCGAGTGTAAACTTCTTCACTTGAAAAATTGTGTCCTGTTTGGCACCAATAAATCAAGAAGTGTCCCTCGGGCTTGTTGTTAGGCTTGTCTCCACCTGGGTGAAATCTGCCCAAATACATCTAGGAAAGAGAAGAGAGGGATAGAGCAAAAGAGAGAGGGCATGGCAAAGCAGGTGCAGTCAGATTAAGTCAGCGGGGTCGTTTCCCTCTGGGTGCTGAAGTTTCGGCAGAAAGCCCATTCTCTCCAGGATACGATTATGGATGTGTCTGATAGAACATCTCAAAAATGTTCTCATTACCTTAGAGAGGCTCACAGCTGCCAGTGACCTGAGAGTGTGTGTAGCTGCGCGTACACGTGTGTGTTTGTGTGTATTGGCAAACCTGTTGCGGCAGGTATGGGGCTCCTGAAGGCTGACTGGGGGCCAAAGTTGAAATCGCTAAGCTGAGATTTATTTTAAAGAGGTTAGATAAATGCAACTCATTATTTAATGGGCGGCGCGGCAAATATAGTATTGCAGATTTGGTTTCAAGCTGTGATTTGGCAATATTGTCTTACATTTATAGAGTATTTTACTTTATTTATTACTGATGGCATATCTGCTAAATAGTGCTGATGGATTTATGTACTTGTTAAACTCTTGCCAAATGATAAAGTGAATTGAATTGTGAAAATAATAAATTTAACGATATAAAGTTTATACATATTCAGAAATAAAACTTAAATCAATTCAAAAGGCAAATCACACTACAAAATAATGACCAAGGTTTAACCTAAAATTAGAATGAAAACTACTTAATGTTTTAATGTTTATAAATATTTAAAATAAAAAAATGACAAATAACTAATTAAAGTATTGATTTAAATGTAAATAAAAAAAAAAACAAAAAAATATATAAAATAGTTAAGTAATAAAAGCTAAAACATCAATTGATAATTGTTTTCTGACATTTACAATACATAGTAGCATTAAACAGCTTTCCAGAAACCTTCATTAGCATTAGTATTGCTAGATTAGTGGAGCTTTGCAAGCAAAGTGCCAGCAGCGTTGCTAGCTTGTGAGAAATATTTATTTCATATTATTGGATTTCCATATATGATACCGTACATTATAAATTAAAATTCTGTCATTATTTACACACCCTCATGTCATTCAAAAGCTGAGTTACTGTAATACTTCTGTAGTCAGAATGATTGCACTGCTCTTTTTTCTATATAATGACAGTAAACGGTGAACAGAGGCTGGCAAAATTAGAAACTGGCCTCTCAAATCTAAATCCTGCAATTTAAATTTGTTTTAATTTGATGCTTTTTTTTTTATTCAGAAGTACTGTACGACTTCAGGCTTAATATACAGTTGTAATCAGGATTATTAAATCCTCTTTGAATTGTTTTTTTCTTCTTCAAATATTTTTCAAATGATGGTTGAAATTTTCCCAGTATTTCTGATAGTGTTTTTTCTTCTGTAGAAAGTTTTATTTGTTTTATTTCGGCTAGAATAAAAGCAGCTTTTTATTTTTTAAAAATCCTTTTAAGATCAAAATGATTAGTCCTTTTAAGCTATATTTTTTGATAGTCTACAGAACAAACTATCGTTATACAATAACTTGCCTAATTACTCTATCCTGCCTAGTTAACCTAATTAACTTAGTCAAGCATTTAAATGTTACTTTAAGCTGTATAAAAGTGCCTTGAAAAATATCTAGTCAAATATTATGTACTGTCATCATGGCAAAGATAAAATAAATCAGTCATTATAAATAAGTTATTAAAAATATTTTGTTTAGAAAAGTGTTTTTAAAAAAACACATCTGTTAAACAGAAATTGGAGAAAAAAATAAAAAGGGGGGCTAATAATTCTGACTTCAACTGTATATAGCTCAAAACCATGCAATGAAAAAAGCTAAGCAATTACTAGTATAGTCAACAAATAATTGCAAATATTGGCAAGAAAAACTTTGAAGCTAATATCAAAGTTAAAAGATCAAGATACAATTTTCTTGTAAAAATTTAGTGTTTTTGGGCTACTTTATCTGTCCTTTGAGTGTTAACAAAAATATTGAAACTAGTAAAATATTTGACATTATACATTGTTAATATCAAGTCCCGAAACTGTTATCAGCTGTGCTTTTTCTCTCCCAGCGAGTTTATACACATTACAGCTCTGCAGGTCCTCGTGTTTTGTTGTGGTGTTACGGACCACCACAGTTTCACTTTCAATTTCAGTTACGCAGTGTTTTAAGTGGCTCAGTGTGGCTCACTTCAAGTTTATGCCACAATGCTCATTTTTCTGTTTTGTCTATTTAAACACTCAAAAGCAAGATGCTAACAATCAGAACTCACATGTTTCTACTATACTATAATATGTGAAAAACAGAATGTGAGGTGTATATGAATTAATAATATTCAAAAACCAGTAAGTGAAGGTAAACAGTTCATATATAGATCAGATGTGTGTCAATATGTTAGATCCATGCACTTGGATACATGCTGATGCAGTCTGGTATTGATAAACAACAACAAAAATGTAGAGAAAATCCCTGCTAGATTTACAGGTCAGGATAACCTAAAAGAACAGCTTTCAAATCTATCTTTACTTTTGCATTTATTTATAAGTGTATTTATCAGATTGTCTTGCATTTAACTTTAAAATGTACAAACATTTCTTTATTGGATACAGTTCAGACTTTGTGCCTTGAATATTGTGGTAATATTTGCCTGTGGTATTAAAAAGGACATTTAAAATCAGTATTTTACTGTAAAAATATACCAATATTTTAAAGGTTAAGCGGTAGCAAACTATTTATATGGGCTGAATTTAAACAAACAAATTAAGATGAACATAACTAAATTTAATTTGTTTGTTTAAATTCAGGGTGAGGCAGTGGCGCAGTTGGTAGTGCTGTAGCCTCACAGCAAGAAGGTCACTGGTTCGAGTCTCAGCGGAGTTAATTATCGTTTCTGTGTGGAGTTTGCATGTTCTCCCTGTGTTCATGTGGGTTTCCTCCCGGTGCTCTGGTTTCCCCCATAGTCCAAGGACATGCAAGACAGGTAAATTGGGTAGACTAAATTGTCCGTATGTGTGTGAATGAGTGTCTATGGATGTTTCCCAGAGATGGGTTGCAGCTGGAAGGGTATCCGCTGCGCAAAACATGTGCTGGATAAGTTGGCGGTTCATTCCGCTGTGGCAACCCCTGATTAATAAAGGAACTAAGCCGAAAAGAAAATGAATGAATGAATGAATGTTTAAATTCAGCCCACACTGTAAAAATACTGGATTCCACACAATTCCTTTATGTTGTCCCTACACAAATCGATTAAGTGAACCTAATCGTTTTTACATATTTAAGTGGATTAAATTAGATTAAACAAGCGACAGATGTCTTTTTTTTTAGTTCATATTAGTTGTTTTCAACAATTTTGCAAAAGCATTTTTTTAATGTAGGTCATGTGATAATGAGTTGGTCTTGTAAATTACAATAATAATAAAAAAACAGATAATGAGCTGGCAGTATTTTTTTTTCTGTTTTGAACATATGTATTTCTCTATTGCTATTTTATCCAAAATGTAAATAAAAGTAAGTTTGTTTAAATGTCCTTTAGGTAAGTGTTTGACTCTTCTAAAGCATCAAAATACCATAACATGTTTGCAGATATTTAAGAAACATGCCAGTTTTGTTTATCTGAAAAACAATGCTGTAGTCAGATATTCTGCTTTGAAAATGTCTGTTACGACTTTGTTTTTGTTCATTTAACCCACCCAATGACTGTTTAGCCAAAAATATTTCAACACCTTGTGTTGCCTTGTTAGAAAACGCATATTTCATTCTTTCGTTCATTCAGAAAGGCTCTCAAAGTTTGTGTCAGCGACCTAAATACGACCTCCGGTGGACAGTAGCAAAAACTCCCAAATGAGTGGCAGATTCAGAGTTCCACATGAGCTTATTAATAAGCAAATAATAGGTGAGCAGCCAGGTTACATTGTAATCGCGTGTCCTAACAACATTTGATACATGATGAGATCTGCAGTGATAAGCAATTTGGCTGTTGCACCAGAAGAAACAAATCATAAATTTAAATACAGCCATTCAGAGGCACAGAATACGCACTAATGCACGAATGGTAAGGTTTATAATCTAATTAAGACATATTAAACATTTTTAACATTATTAAATGTATATACTGAATTACTATGTGTTGGTTTTGAGTCAGTTCTAAAGTTCAGTTTGAAAAGGTGAATTTTATTTTCAAGATCTGATGTGAACTATCTTCTGCTGCTTTTAGTAGTGTGGCAATAAATGTCATGTAATGGCATTCAAACTCGCATTGTTAGCATTTAATACTGAATAAAACACATGAGGTGTACCTAAGGTGATCAGCGTTTGTCCTGTTGTTCTTATATATCAATTCTAGGTGTTGGTTAGAACAAAAACTCATTTTAATATGGTAAACATTCCTTCTATCATGTGCCGTTGCTTTTATTTAGAACAGTTCAAATCACCTTTTAGGCTGATGAATAATCAGACTCGCTCATGTTGGTCTTCAATCTGGCAACCTGGGCTTGCGTTTGTTTTAATCCAGGAATGCAATATGGTTCAACTACTGGGTGTCAAACTTACATACAGCACCTTTAACTGTAAAAATACATTTTTAACTAAGAGCAAATACTGGTAGAATAGAGATCAAGGTCCCATAATGCCAAATGTTTGAAATTTGTGTAAATAAGCTTGCTATACCTCTGGGGTCCGTTCTTCGTACCTCGCTTAAATGATCTAAGATGATTTGTCAGATCCTGGATCTTTTAATCTTGATAACTGATCTCTCGCTAATTTGGTTCTTCAAACAAGTTCGCGAATCAGATTAGAATGTCTG